CAGCCTCAATGGAGTAACAACATTGCAGGTGCTAATGTAGACAGGGCTTCTGCAGTATCACCTTGTCTAAAACTGCTCAGAGCAGGTTGGAATGGAGCTGTGGTGAAAACACCGCTACGTGTTGCACCCTTGTCCTATCCAGAGAGTCTCCCACTGTTACTGTCTATAGTGCTCCAGGCTTGGTGTTGTGAAGAGGGAATTCTGAGCAGGGAATGGGATAACTGAGCAAAGGATGTAAAAGAATGCTCTTACATCTTGTCCGATAATTCCTTGTTTTTCCTTTCACTTTTAGTGGGGGAATTTATTGAAAGGTACTAGAAAGCCCTGATTGAATATCCCCCCCTTTCTCTTGTATTGACTGTTGCATTAATGTGCTCAGAGTATTTTAGTGGACTGGTGAAGAATGATTTCTTTTTTTATCCTCTTCAAATTCCTGTTGGCTTTTTTACATCGGTATCACAGATAGCAAGGTGATTTTTAGTACTCTTTGTAATTATTGTCTCAGCTAATTTAGTTGATACAGAATAAAAGCTAACAGGATTGTAATTTCCCAGAATATTCTGGACTTTTTTTTAAAAGCAAAAGACCATTTGTTCCCCTTCAGTTCTCTGGAAGCTAACAGTTTTTTTAGTCCTTTTTTTTTTGTTATCATTATTAACATTTCAGCTACCTTTTGAAATCAAGTGCAATTTTTATATGATTGATGTGTTCAGCTTTTTAAAAATATTGATGTGGAGAGTGTATCCCCACTGTTAGCAGTGATGGGCAGGCCTACGGCAGACTTCTCAGCATCTGGCAGTGGCAAGAGAAGGCATCTCCACCCCCCTCCCTTGCTCAGGTTGAGAAGTAGGTGGGATTGTAGAATGGCTTATGTTGCAAGGGATCTTAAAAGTCAAGTTCCAACCTCCTGCTTTGAGCAGACTTGCCACCTGCTAGCCTAGGCTGCCCAGGGCCTCATCAAACCTGGCCTTGAAGTGAAAGTGAATGGGCAGGAAGCAGTGTGGAACTGCTGCTGCTCACCTGCCCAAGTGTGCTGCCCTGTGTGGGGGTGAGAGGAAGGAGCAACTGTTCTAGACCCATCTTCCTGTAAAAATCCAGCCTGACGGCCTTTCTGAGGAATTTGTGTTTGCAGTATTTCTGTAGGCAGCTCTCATCACCAGGAATTTCTGGTGACTTGTTATGTTTTTGACTAATTGCATTTCAGATTTTTCTCTCTGCATCCCTAATCCTCGTTTCGCGTTTTGCCAACTGTGAGTATGCCCCTCAGGGTTGGAATGACTTTTCTGAAGGATTTTTCATACGAAGAATGCTTCCACCACTTACCTTGCTGTCCTAAGTGGTCTTTCTGAGCTCTTTTGTTGCTAGTTCTATCACTAGGTAAAATACTCAAGTTGGCACCAGGGAATCTTAGCTTTGGTGTTTATTATCTTCTAAATTAGTTCCTTCATTTGAAAGCAAGATTATTACAATGTCTGCTGAGTTGTGGCACCTGCATGTCTGTTGCTTTGCCAGGGTCTCTGTGAGCAAAGACTCCTTCAAAACATCAAAATGGCTTGAGCAGCCAGATCTGCTTGTACATCAAGGATAAACTAACAGATGTCCTCGTGCTCTCCTGCTTGCAGAGTATATGCTTCATACCAGAGGAGTCTCTACTCCACATCTGAGAATTCCTGCTTTCATTATGGCCCACATGCAACCATTTTAGTAATTAGTGTTAATCCCAGTCTAGTCAGGGTTTAGGCAAGCCACATAGGTCTGATAGCCATGCTGTAGGCTAATGGAGAATTGATCCTGCTGAAATTTGGAGAGAGTATGGAGCGAGAAAGGGATGCCCATGTGGGTTGGGGAAGCAGCCATCTGCACACTCAGACAGCATTTGTGATCTGAAGTGCTTCCTGAGGGAGGCTTATTCTTGGTAATCCTCTGTATGTGAAATGCTTTCTTTCTTTGCAGCATGCTTCTAGGCAGGGTGCATACAAGCAGGTCCATGTCTAACTGGCTGTTATTCCTAGCTCCTTCCCCGATAAGAACAACATTCAAGGTATTGCTTATGTAACAAAGCAGTATCTTATGAGATTTCTTGGAGAAAGCTCTGAGCCATTCTGGGGGATTTCCATTCACTGTGCAGTTTCTTTGAGATAGGACATAAACGTGGGTCAACAGAGGCAGACACAGTAGGAGGAGTGTGGCCCTCTTACTTTGCCTATGGCTAGGATGAAAGAAACAAATGCTGCATTTGGACCATGACCTGGCTTGAGAAGATCAAGATAATTAATAGCATTAAGAATGTTTTTCTTCTGAACACCTTGTCCTGTGTGATAAGAAAAGAGACCTTGACAGCGAGATTCACAGTCCTGCTTCATTCTCACCTTTGCCTTTAATGAAGACTGAAGTTTTGTTATGTTGAAGGTTACAGGTAGGTTTTCTTCTTCCAGTATATATTGTTCAGTTAACAATGGGCAGGAGCTGCTGTCCCCTGATCCTGACAGCATCCAGGGCAGTTGTCTCAGAGTGTCAGCCAGGTCAGTCATAAATGTGCTGGCAGAGAATGCTGGGTGTGGGATTCCTGATCCATTTAACTCTTCTGTCAGAGTGCCATTGTCTCTGTTGTTGAGGATTGCTGTGTGATCACAAGGCAAAACTAGGTTCTCTGCTGGATGGATAAGTTCGGGAGAGCTAAAATTTCCTGTCATGTCTGCAGTGACAGGCATGAAGATATACCTTGCATCCAAGTGTGTCTGCATCAATTGTATATGCAGTTACTTGAGTTTTCCTTCCTCCCAGCTGTCTTTGGTTATTCACCACCCGGCCATTTCCCAGTGATCCTTGCAAGGTGGCAAAATGCATTGAGACCAGTGCCTCTGGTCCCAGCTGGCCATCCCAGGCTTCATGCCCAGCCCTGTCTTACAGCCCTGGCATCTATCTCTGGTGCTTTGCCCTGAGCCATGCAGCAGCCCAGAGCCTTTCAATGGGCTCCTGCTGCATCTTGTGGGGATCACAGTCCATGTGCTGGCCTTCCCTTGTTGTAAGGAGGCCGGCCTGGTGCTGTGTTCTTCTTGTGCCCTGGGCTGCAGCTGGACCAGCATTTGCGGGGAGCTAGCCCTACTCAGCCTTCAGCAGGAGTTCCTCTGGTGCTGCCGGAGTCTGCAGAGGGCAACCATCAAAGCTGCACTACAGCCTGCGTTCCTGTAATGGGCTGAGTTCCCTGTGCTTTGACAAAATACCCAGCTGCTCTGGCTTTCTCCTTCCCCCTGCTTTCTTCTTTCATCCCATTACTCCCCCTGTGTTCTTCTTTGCTTTCTTGTCCTTTTCACAGCTTCTTTTCCTTATCCCCTTTTGGCCTGCTTTTTCTTCTGCACATGGAAGGAAAAAGCAGAAAACAACCAGGGTAGAGCCCTGGTTACAGCAGGAGCTTCAAAGCAGGTGTGCAAGATGTGGCACAGGAATATGGGATGCTTCAGGACTGCTTGTGGATGTTATTTTCTACCTATGCATCTGTGAGAGCTTTTAAGCAGACAATATGCTGAGATAAGCATGTTCTTTGTGCATTTATGCTTGCCTGTGCATGGCCACCTAGGGAAAGTGTGTGTGTGCGTGCATGTGTGCATCAAGCTGTCAGATCTCACATACGGAGTGTGAGACTCTCACATTCTCCTCACACTCCCCTTGGCCTGTATTTCATGCACTTGCAGCTCAGCACCCAGCCTGTCCCCTGACGCATTCCCAGAAGCAAGACATTTGCCATGCCCTGTGGTGTGACATAGCACTGCTTTGCATGGAGGGCAGAAGTGGCCATTAAACAGAGACATCCACACGTGGGTGTGGATGTGCGTGTGGTGGCATTTCTGCATTTTTGTGATGGTGTTCATCTCTGCCACATACTTTAAGGCTTTCAGTAGAGTCCCTTACCATGATATCTTGGTATTTCCTGGCCAGATGAGGTCTGCACATGCAGGATTTGACCTTCAGTGATTTACAATGTGGAAGCCATAGGAATTTAGGAGCCTCTATTAAGACAGATGCTGAGCACTGCCAGGAGGTGGGCGCACAGTTGCTTTTTGTCATTGATTTGCTTAGATTTTATTAATGTATCGGGTAAGCTTATCTGAAACTTATGAAAGAATATTGAGTGTAGCTCTGTCCTTGGCAGGAGGCTTTCCTACTGAGAGTAATAAAAGCAGAATAAATTATTGTCAATAAAAGATGTGGTGACTGGTTGGCTCTTGAGAGGCAGAGTGAGTGAACCTCGGGAGTGGGCAAGTGGTAGGTGATAGTTTCTGTCATTTGCATGCTTTTTGGCTAGTGTAAGCAAAACCAGTAAGTCTCCTACTTCCTAGTTCATAAAAAATACTGTCACTTTGTTGGCAGTGTGAGCAGTAAGACTATGGTGTGTCTGGACTTGAGTGGTGTAATTTCTCCTTTTGGTATTTTGAAGTGGGCTGAGGAGTGTGAAGAACTTCCCACATATTGCTCTTCCTCACTATCAGAGATATCTGTAGTTTTAATTATTTTTAATAATATATTTTTTAATAGACTCTTCTTCCAGACTCCTGAGTGTTCCCAGGTTGGTATCTGTGATTTTCTTCTCACTTGAATTCTTTGTTCCCTCAAAGAGGGTTCAGTATTATTTGCAGTACTCACATTTGTCTTTTTACAAGGGTTCCCTGTGCATCAAAGTGGTGGATAATAATTATGGTAGACATTATGTTCTGTATGAGGATGTAGCCCTGGGCAGAGCCAAAAGCTGATTTGCTGTCCCTGATCATGGTGCCTGTGCAGATGCATATGGAAGCCCCTTATGCTCTGGAGTATCTTGTCCTGGTCTGCTTCAGTCCCACTAAATCAAGGTGGAGTCCTAATAGTTAACTTACACAGATGAAGCCCAAAATCAAGAACGGAAATTCCTGGAGTGTTTCAATAGCAGATAAATAGGTGTACACGTGGTTCTGTGCATGTAATAGGTAGCAAAAGGGCTTGGCTGATGTTCTGTCTCTCTGCAGGTGCACCTGCGCTCTGCTGAGCGCCTCCGAGAGCTGTGCTGTGCCAACCGAGGCACCTTCATCAAGGTGGGCCAGCACCTGGGAGCACTTGACTACCTGCTGCCAGAGGAGTACACCCGCACACTCAAGGTGCTGCACAGCCAGGCCCCGAAGAGCACCAGGCAAGAGATTGAGCAAGTCATCCGTGAGGATCTCGGCAAAGAGGTAAGGGCTGCTGAGGACAAAGGTGCATTTGCAGGGTTCTGTGAGGAAAGACTGCTTTCCCATGTCTGCAGTAGACCAGTTCCAGCTGGCACTGACAACCCTTTAGATTTTTTGAGCCCCTAATTAACCTTCGAAGAAAATAATAGCATAAATCACTTTTGGTGCTTGCAGTCAGGTAGCATAATATCCAAGGAATTTGTAGCCATTAACCCCCAGCAGGCTGCAGCACTGAGATCAGAGGTGAGTGTCTGCGTTCATCAGATATAAGAAAAGTAACTGTGATATTTAAAGAGAGCATTCTGCTGCTTTGTGTCTTGCCCTGTAAGAGAAGAGATCTGCCTTACAACTCCCAGGCTGACCAGGTGCATTTCAAGGAGCACAGCTGATGTGGGAGGGAGGAGGAAACTGTTACAAAGGCAATAGTAGAAAAGGTGGAATTGCTTGGTGAGAGACAGGCTGTTGAAGAATAGAAGCAATTGTGTACATACAGAGCTGCTGATACAAAAGAGGTTTATGGGGCTCTTTGGGTGTATTTCAGGAAGTCTGTGTGGTGAGGAGGTGTGGGGAGAACAAGGGGGTTTGAGTGATGTATTTGCACCTACCTAGTGGATATATAGTGGATGGATTTGGATGTGGTGGTTGTAGTTAGGAATGACAGTTTGTATCTCCCTGCAATTGAATGGCAAGGGTTAGTGTCAGCTCCTGGCCTGCATTCTCTTTCCTTTCCTGCAAGCTAAATGCTTCCTTGCTCGGCACTGCATCCTCAAAGCATGGCCAGTACCAGCTGTGTTTCATAGCTCAGTGGATAGATGGAGCAGGACAGGCTGTCTGCTCCCTGCAAAGCCCTGCTGCTCTATGGAGCTTCACCCTACAATCTCACTTCTGCAGATGTGGAAAAATCACCTTGAGGTTAGCTACTACTAAATGATTGAAACAGCCACCTCTGTCTGCCTGTGTGGTGTCTCTCAGAAGCAGAGCCACATGCTAAGGAGGTGAGCCCCTTCTGAAACGTGTGTTCAGCTGCCACAGATATCCTGATTTCTTTCAGCATTTTGGGAACTAGACAAGACCTCCATGCCTCATTGATTCCCAGCGAGACAGCTTGAATCCAGTCTCCACGGCAGCCCTTCCCTCTTAGCATTCACGGCACTCACATGGGCAGTGCTGGGCGATATTTAATTTTAAAGAGACAGGGGGATAAAAAGATAGGAATGGGAAAAGAAAAAGGAAACGCTAAAGAGAGGAAAAAAAACAATAATTGAAAGAAGAGAGAAATGAAGAGAATAGAATGAATAGAATATATGAAAATAACTGGTGAAACTGGGTGTATTAAAATCGTAGGTAAATGTCCATGGCTATTAGTTACAAGGTGGTAAATTAAGGATTTTGTTTGTTTCTGTAATGATTTTGTAATGATTCTGTTCCCTCACAAGTATCTACTGAAGCTGTTGGAGAGCTGAGTGAAAATTGCTGAAACGGGAACAGTCTCAGTTGCTGTTAAGCTAAAGGCCTCTAGAAATTTTTGACAATCTGTCTGTTTGGACCCCAGGTACCCACATCAGCATACACTTACACTACTGCTGGAGAGTTTGTTGTGCTCCAGGGAAGACTGAAAGGCAAAACAGGCCCTTACTGAGAACTTGACAGGGATTGAGTTTGTTGCTTCCACTGCTCACTTAATTAAAAGCTGGGAGAAAGGGCTGAGGTGAGCCCAGAGGTTGAGGCTTCTCTCCATTGAAGACAAATCATGTAAGGAGCTTGAATAGGTGTAAAGCCATACATTTAGAAGGATGTCAGTCCAGCCCTGCCTTGCGGGAGCACAGATAATGGGAAGTAGTTTTCTAATTGCATGATTAGCCTGTGCCTCCAAGAAGACCACCCACAGTTAATTAACTGTGGCTTTTACACCAGTGCAAGGACAAGCTTACCATTTGCAAGAATCCTCCTGCAGCCATACAGTCATAGTGCTTGCTGCTCGAGCAGGGCAGGATACGCTGATGGTTTTACTGTGATTTAATAAACAAAGCACATGAGGCAGAGGAACCTCCTGTGCTGTGGTTGCTGAATCAGGACGTATTTTTACAGACAGCGGTGTTTGGGGGACCCAGCCTTTAGTCAAAGGGCTTTGCTCTCTTTGTGTTCCTACCCTTGTGTTGGCATGGCACCAGTGCTGTGCAAGAGGAAACATACTTCTGGTCTGAGATGATGTTATCCCCGTACAAAAGCTGTTGCTAAGAGGGAGACTGTCCTTTGTCCCTCTACTTTAAATTGCTCATGGAGATCCCAACAGTTTCTCTGTTGAGTACATGAGCCTTATTTTGTCCACTGTTGAAATATAATTATGTACAACAGGGGAGCATGGTCACTGCAGTCATGCACGGCAATGCCACGTGGCCATGTGAACCTACCAGGGAAAGGAGCTGGGATGCAGCAAGGTGCTAATGCCCTGGCTTTTGCTGTGACAACCTTAATCACTACATTAAGAAACTTCCCTGCCCCTGAGCTGCTGCAGTCTGAGAAAGGACAGCAGGAATAGGAGAATCTCTTTTTGCTACTATTTCTGTATGAACTCCTGGTACAGCATGGCAGCCTTTGAGTGCCAGCAGTGGCAGAGAGGACAGTCTGATTCCTTTATTTCAGGAATTGTTTATCTATTCTTTAAGTGCTGCAAGATGCATGCTTAGTTCTGATGTGTAGAACTGTCAAAGCAGTGCTCAGCACTGGGGGAGAGTAGTAAAGACTTCAGTATGCTGTTGGGTATTACACTGCATGTCCTACAGCATCCAAGTTGTTCCCAAGGGAATGTGAAACATTTTCTTTAGCTGGCTCCATATGTTATCCGGGAGAAGATTCACTTACCCTACTGGGTGACAAGGTCTTCAGATTATGATGCTGCAGATCCTGATATAGCCCCGAAAGCCACCTCCCAGGCTGGCAGTGTTGTTAAACCAGACCAGGATGCCAGGAGAGCTGCCTGTTTACCCCAGGTTTGCCGAGTGGTAGAGTGCTCTGCCTGAACGTGCTGCTGTGGCTCAGGTAGTGCACAGTTGCTCTCACTCTTGATGCTGTGCATCTGATACCAGACAGCTGTACCAGGTGTGCGCTTTGAAGTTGGTCCACATGTACATGACTACCAGACATGGGGAAATTACAATTAGGTCAGTGAGAGCCTCTTATGCCTGCTGTGGGTTTTGTATCTAGCAGAGGAGATCTCCTGTTCCTCTGTGATATTGCCAGCCTTTTGTTACCCCCCAGAGTGGGGGCTATGATGGCAGTGACTCTGCATGCTGTTGTGGTGAGTGCAGGGTGGCTGTGGGACAGGAAGATCTGGCCCTGTCCCCACCTCTCCTCTAGTTTCTTTGGGTAGGCCTTTCAGGGCTTTCAAGCAGCTGTCAATGAAAAAAAAACACATTTGTATTAAAATTATAATGAGGAATAAAAATCTTCACTTTTTTCAATAACTTGAGTTATAAAAAAGAGATTTTTATCAATTATGAAAAGGATTTTGGCCATAAATAGGTAATTTAAAGAGTCTGTAGATGGATGGTGAATAGCATTAATGTCACCCAGAACAAATGGGCTTGCATTACTCAACTGGAAGGCAGGAACAGCCACTGTATGGGCCCTGCTGCTGTGACAGCCTCCACTGTGCCCCATCTCTCCATTTTATGGGTATGAGCCTCTCGGTGCTGGTGGAGCTCAGTACAGCTGCCCCAGCACTGGGACCGTGCAGGTGCCAGCTGCCCAAAACTAGGGCCCCAGTGCTAAATGCAGAGGGAAAGCAAACAGGGAACTCTGTGTGGGTCAGGTAGTCCTCCTTGCTCTGTCACTGGTGTTCCTGCATGCTCTGCTTTCAAGCTCCAAAGTTATTGATCCTTAATGCCACACCAATGACAAGCTGGTGTCCTTATTCCCAGGGAGCTTTGAGACAGGGTGCTCCCTCCTGCCCTGCGTGAGGAGACTATTTTCTTTTCCTAGATGCTCTAAGCCCCATTGCCCGTGAAAAGGAAGGTTTTGGTGCATAGGTGGGAGGTTAATCTTCTTTGTCATCCTTTAACTTTACTGATTTACAATAAAAGAAGTTGGACAGCAGAATTTCTGAGGGATTACTTTTCTTTTAACCTTCTGCAAGAAACTGAAATACTTGAGATCAGAAAATGCAATGGAAAATGATATGGAAAGGAGTAATTCTGGTTTGCATGCTCAGTGACCTTCATTTCTTTAATTTGCAGATTAATTAGGTGCATAGGGGTTAATATATAGCTTACCTGCATGGAATTTATTGGCTCGGTGTGTCTTGTGTGCAGCTGGTAGGCTGTCTTCAGTACGGTTTTTTGAGAGATTTGATGACACCTGAAGTGTTGCCCTGGTGCAAGTCTCAGCTGGTAATGCACAGCACATCTGTGCTTTCACCCTGTGAAGGTGGTAGATGTGCTCAGCAGTGCTCCATCCGTAGGCAGAAACCACATCTCAGCACATGGGTCACTATTCCAGTTCCAAGCTTCTGTATCTGCTGATACGCTCAGAAGTGCTCCTACTTGATGCTCTGATACAGGTACAGGCTGGGTATAGCAAGCTTGATTTTTCTCTTAGGGAGCAGGGAATCCTGTCATTTGTCCATTGATCTGCTAATTTCCTACGTGATTGTGCCCCCTTTGCATCTCCTGTTTTCTGTCAGAATTTTAGGTCTCTCCAGCTGTTTAGCTCTTGACCCATCAGGAATGTAAAAACATGACATGGTGAATCTGGCATCTTTTGGCAAAAGGTTGTTTGTAGGCAAAACAAAGGACATAAGATAAAATAATGAGTTATGGGGCCTCAGCTTGGTGTGTCTGCATTTTTCTAACATGTAGAATAGACATAGCATTTTTATGAATTTTTGAAGTGTGCAGGCAATCTGGTGAGCTGTTTTATGGTACTATGGAATCAGCCTGAGAGTTTATGATTCCATGAAGGGATGCTGAGCTATAGAAAGGACTTCAGTCTTGCCTGAAGATTTT